TAATTGTTGTACATCTTGCTGTCAGGTGGATCCCTAAATATTTTACCTTTTTCACAATCTGTATATCTAATTTTCCCACCAGTTCTTTTTTTTGTTTTTCAGTAATATTTTTCACTAACATTTTGGTTTTATCTTTATTAATTTTCAACCCCGCTACCTCACCATATTTTTCTATTTGTTCTATTAATACAGGTCCTGTTTCTAATGGTTCCTCCAAAATAAATACTAAATCGTCTGCGAATGCTTGTAGCTTATACTCTTCCCTCTTAATTTTCATCCCTTTTATGTCGTTATTCTGTCTTATACATCTATTTAATACTTCTAATGTCAGAACAAACAACAGTGGAGATAGAGGGCATCCCTGTCTTGTTCCCTTCATAATGTTGATCTTTTCAGTTATATCTCCATTTATCATTACTTTGGCAGATTGCTTATTATAAATTGTTCTTATTACATTTATAAATTTCTCCCCAAAATCCATAGTTTGTAATTGGCTTATCATGAATTGCCAGTTCACATTGTCGAATGCCTTCTGTGCGTCCAGGAACACCAATGCCATCTGTTTCTCAGGGTGTGTTTCCATCCAGTCTGTGTGCAGCTCTGCATATGGTTCAGCTGGGTTACTGCAAATGTGGGACGTGCTATATATAAGAAGGCTTGGTCCTCTCTCATTCAGACAATTCTTTGGTGTCCTGGCCTCAGTGGATCACAAAGAAAGACAGCACACTATCTTTTGGCCTTTACTGAGCACCTGTCAAGATAGCATAATTAATGGACCTCTCTATCTTACTTAAAGTTTATCAATTTTTATCTAATTTATAATTTATCTGATTTCACTATAAGCACATAATATGGGTAAATTCAGTTGAATTTGGTTCTCTACTGCAATATATTTGGTTTATCTGTGATAGAAGAATATGATGGGCATTGGCTAAAACTGTAATGTAAGAAGTAGCCTTAGTAACTAGTTTGTTCCGAATTGGCAAGTGTTTCATGGATAGCTTTATATGCAAGTAATGAACAATAGACATGCGTAATATTTCAAGACTTTTGTTTTCAGACCTTGAACTTAAAACTTAATAAGTGTGATCTGTAAAAAAAAGGACGTGTACACAGTAAACTATATGTGAAAGATTACACAATATAAAAATAGGCTGGAACAAATGCAATTTTTTGCTTTAAATTACCTTGCAATATCAAGCAAATGAATAGGTATTTGAATTGTAACACAAAATATTCATCACAATAAATAGTAAGGACCTTTTCTATTCTGTCCTTTTCTTTTTTACACCTCTTCACAAAATTCCACCATTTCAATTTATAGTTTAAATGACCGATTTGATCATAGTGCTGTCACTCTTAACAAAAAAAAATCACTTTTCTGCTAGATGTTTTAATAGATTTTCTTAAATATGTATTGCTGACTGAATATTGGCATGAAGGACTCTCAGTGGGCTGAGTCCAGGAATTAAGAAGTCAAGAAATAAGCTGCTGCACTGCAAAAAAGCCTTATGTGACACAGGATCTCCTGATTGGGGGGATCATTGCTGCTATTATGACTCTACTTGCGTAGGACTTTTGAATTTCATCTGAATGTCAGTAATAACCCTCTTAGCAAATTATCCTGAATAAAATCACAAAGGCATTTTATATAATAGGTGTTGAATTACTGGATAGATTTGCTAATTAAATACTCTTTGTTCTGCTGCAGTTGACATTACAGGGTAAGATCTTGAACAATTATTCTCAACAGCTGTACTTTGTTAAGGGAAAAATTAACTACAAAGTTTATTTTTTTACAGTTGAAGTTGGCAGATTTTTTGAAATGTGCTTGAAAAAAATTCCATCATCCAATTGGTAATGAGAAGATAAATATGCAGGTGTTTCTGTGAAATATGATAACTGCCAACTGCTTTACTAATGAATTTTAGCAAGGCTTTATAACCTATTTTGTGACTGTTGGCACTTAGCAAGTGATTCATTATTGAAAAAGTAATATTAATATTATGCTTGTCATTAGATGATCTTTGCTTTTCTTATGTCCTCGTATATTTAAAAAATCCCTGCAATGAATTGTTAGCATTTTTAAAGAGATTGATTTTGCCAGAAATTCATTTTTAAAAATTTAATATTGTCCAGTGAAAAGTTGATACTGTTTTTAAAAACCTATTACAATAATATCTGATTACTTTCCTAAATACCATAATTTCCTCCCTCCTTCACTGTGTGTTGGAGGAGGGAAGACAGTTAACAAAGATTTTGAATCATGGTATCTTTTAGAAGGCTTAGGTAATTTACAACATCATGACACAGGTAGACAAAGCTGAGTAATTTCTGGCAGAACTAATGATCGGCAGGAAGTGTTTTGGGAGGAAAATGTCTCTTGTAGCTATTCCAGAAGTAATAATTTTTTATTATCTTAATTGCACAGTTCTAAAAAAAAAGCATCTACTCTTACGATATGATTATAGAGTATTTGTAAGTACTACTGCCCAGTCTGCTTACTTCTAGGGAGATATCAGCTGGTAATATGATACTACCTGGAAAGTCTTTCTGGTTTGGTGGATAGATCATTTTTTTCATGATCAAAATAAGAGTTTAATTATACTGTTGAAAGAAAAATCTTCATCAGGGTCCACTCCAAGCCGGGAATAAACAAAATGCAGACTGCTTTAGAAAGAGGGTTGTAGTTTATTGAAGAGCAGAGCCAGACAAAAATGTGGCTCTGGAGCAGCTGACCACATGCTGCTGGGAGTGGTGGGTTTTTACACTTTCTTGGGTTTTTGTGTTTGGAGTTGTTCCTGTGGCATGAATTTGACCTGAGGCTCAGTGTGCCCTTTTTGTATTCTGATGGGGGTGGGTTAATCGTATTATGTCCTAAAGGTCATGTCCTGCTTCCCTGGGACTGTGGCTGATGGCTATGTTCTGTGTTGGATAGTTGAGGGGTTGTTGGTTCTAGGGATCTTTGTCTTTCTAATCCCATCAGCTCCAAGCTTCCTGGCTCATCTTTCTGAAAGGATTATCAAATATGCATTTCTACAGACCTGGCCTCTGCCTAGTTTCTGCTTGGGGCTATTAAGAAAAATTGGGCCTGCTTTTCTGCCTTTAAGATCCTTTGGGGAAATATAATATTCTGCCTTTTTAATATTCCCCAAAATATTTCTTTCTCGGAGGGGGGGGGGTTGACTTACCACAATACTTACAAGGAAGCCTACAGATTAGCAGTATAGATCTACTGAAATGATGGGAAGTTTTGTTCTATAACTTCCTCAGCAATGTATGTCTATCTTTGGATAAACCTAATCAATTCTTTGTCTTAAATTTACAATTATTACATTATGTAAGGGTCTCCCCACCCAAAAAAGTTTCCTAGTGACCAAACAGTTTCTTTTTTTTATATTTTGTAACCAAAATTATGCAATTAACAATAAATCACTGAAAAATAAATATTTTGGAAAAAGCTTTTCTTTTATGGATCATTCAGTCTTTGATGATATGCATGCCAGTCACATATTGATAAACAATATCCCGAAGAAAGGAAAAAATAATATTAATAGATTGGTGATAACATGCCATTCTAATTTGAGATGCATTCATTTTCATAAATACCCAGAAGATATGTAAGCTTTTCTCTTCTCTTTTTATTTCTTTTTTTGGTATAATCCATAATTTTGGCATGAATGTGTCAGATATAGAAACAATATTTTGTGTTTTGTAAATTCAAACATCTAAAGTTTATTTCCTGCTAGGTAGGTCTTACATTCTGTAATCTGTGCTATCATTAATTACAATTTCTTTTCTTTTCTAGATCTTAATGCATACTAAGGAGTTGGTACAAAAGGTAATATAATTACATTTTCTTTAAATATAAATTCTTAAAAATGTGTAGTCTAGTATGAACTAAACACAAAATAGCAACTCTGGATATATATCTTTCTATATAAATAAAAATGTAAATGTTCATTTGTTCAAAATCTTAAATCTCCGAAAGTTCTTCACCGATTGCTTTGAAATTTTGACACAATGTTGCATTCGACTACGCGCGTGTTTTTATATACCTATATTATATAGATGTCACACCTGTGACAGGTAAAAACATGCTTTTTTAAAAAACAGCGCCATCTGTTGGACGTAAAAGCAACACACGCTACGATTTTACCATTCCATTTCAATGTTTCCGATTTACGATCCATTTACGATTTCCAAATTTCCAATTTTACGATTCCATTTCAATGTTTCCGATTGCATTGTTAAATTGAATTTTCATAGATTTTGATTTATTTTCATTTTGATTTAATTATTTCGTGTGACATTGCATTGGAATTGATGCACAGACAATGGAACAACAAAAAAATATTGTATACCCATAAGCATTGTGAAATTAAACATATTAGAAACATGCGCTTTCTCTTTTCTTTCTTTTCCATTTAACCAGACTGAGCCACAGCAATGCGTGGCCGGGTACAGCTAGTAGTTTATAAATTTAATCCTTATTGATGGATTATAGCTTCTTGACCTCAAAGTTCTGTAAAATAAATATCTAATCTCTCTGAAGGCTGAGTTTCAGTATTAAAGCTTAGTTGTAGTCTAATACCTATATATTCAAATGTCTTATTAAACTAAACATTTTTTTAGCTTCACTTATTCTTTTGCAGACTTGGAACATACTTATTTTTTCGGGGATAGTTCAACAAAATGTTGCTGTTAGATCCAATATAACTAGGGGTCATGAAATCTAGTTAGAAAAGGCCAACATAGAAACAAGCAATTTTTTTCAGTATCACACTCCAGTTTCTGTCTACTCTGCTTTTTTCAAATAAGTTATCTGAGATTTTTAATAGAGTACAAAGCATTTTTGGATACTATTTTAAGTAAATTCCTCTCTTTATTTCTCCCAACCCCCAGATGAATCTGGAAGTGATTTATGGCGACACAGATTCCATCATGATAAATACAAACCTCACCAAACTGGAAGAAGTATTTAAACTGGGAAACAAGGTAAAATCTAGCACTGTGAACTTTCTAAGTGTGATTTATATAAAAATGCTTCTGTGTACCAGCCCTATTACCAATTTTCTGAAAATGTTATGGTCTGGTATCAGCCTATGAATATCTTTCTGGACCTTTGCATAGGGATGAGCGAGGTATTATTATTATTATGGTCTGTCGCACAGTCAGCCAGATATTCAGACTGGATTTGTCATTTTTATCCATCTATCGAGTCCTTCCTAAGGACCTGGGATAGGCAGAAGTGGGATGTTTGATAGTGTTGCAGATATCGTTGCAGGATGTAAGCTGTTGCTTTCACTGTATATTTACAATGGGTAAACACCATTCCTGCCAATAATTCTGCAGCTGCTGGCCCTGGTTGCTCAGCCAGATGTCCAGGAACTCCGACACCTAGTGTGGTCCTTGTTGAACAGGCAATGATTGAGCCAGTAATTTAGATCTCACCATATTTTTTATAGGAGAGACACTCTTTGCCTGACTCCTCTGATGAGACTTGTTCAGAATGGTTGAATCTCTGGCATAGCTCTCATCTTCCTCAGAGCACACAAGCCCCACAACCACGTCAAGATAGTGCCTTATTGAGGGATTATTATTGCTTGTTGCACAGTCAGCCAGATGTTTGGTCTGGATTTGGCATTTTTGTCCTCCTATTGAGTTCTTCCCAAGGACTTGGGATAGGCAGATGTGGATGTTTGATGGTGTTAGAGGTATTGTCTCAGGATGTACACTGTTCTGAATAAAGTGGCTTTTTGCAATTGATTGATTTGAATTTGTCAATGCCAGTGGTGTTCAAGTGGTGCTCCAATTGTTTTGGGATTGCACCCAAGGTGCCTATGACTATTGGTATTACCTTTGCTTTCTTTTGCCACAGTTGTTCTATTTCTATTTGCAAATCTTTGTATCTTATTATCTTCTCCAGTTCTTTCTCTTCTATTCTGCTGTCTCCAGTATTGCCAGGTCCACTATCCAGACTTTTTGTCTTTCTTATTGACAATTGTTAAGTGTGGGGTGTTTTATGTGGCAGGTGCCTGTCTGTTTGAATTCTAAAGGCCCAGAGCACTTTAGCTTGTTTATATTTTACAACTTTCTCTATTTTATGGTCCCACCAGTTCTTTCTTGCAGGCAAAAGGTATTTCTTGCAGATCTTCCAATGCACCATTATTGCTACTTTGTCATGCCTTTATTTGTAGTCATTCATTGCAATCTTCTTAGCTACTAACCAGGTTGGTCCACTGTTTCTTCAGCTTCTTTGCATTGGTGGCACTTGGTATCTGTTACTGTCTTCTCAATTCTGGCTTTATATGCATTCGTTCTTAAAGCTTGATGTTGTGCAGCCAGAATTAGTCCCTCGGTCTCCTTCTTCAATTTTCCTGCTCTTAGCCATTGCCAGGTCTTCTTATAAACTGCTTCCCTGCTTTTTTATGTACTGTCCATGTAATGCTTTGTCTTGCCATGCCTCCTTTCTGTTCTTCATTTAGTCTTTCTTGTAGGCCAGTTTGATTTCTCCAGTATTCAGCAGGCCTTCCTGCTGAGTACTACTAGGCCTTTATTATTATTAAATTTATCTCCAAGGTACTTTTTCAGGAAGCAACTGGACTTTCTCGTTCTTCTTTGAAGATGTTTCGCTTCTCATCCAAGAAGCTTCTTCATCTCTGACTGGATGGTAGGGTATGGAAGGATTCATATTCCTTGCAGAGAGCTGGTCATTTGCATTCTTCTAGAGCAGTGGTTCTCAACCTGTGGGTCGGGACCCCATTTGGGGTCGATTGACCATTTCATGGGGGTCGCCAAGCAAGGCTGTCCGCCATTTTTTTGTCCGCCATTTTTTTCCCTTTTCCGGCGGGTGCCTTACCTCCCTTGGGCTGGGCCAGCTGGTGGTCGGCCTGCTCCGTCTCTGCCGCTTGCCAGCTACGCCTCGGCCAGCGCAGGGGGCGGAACCACGCATGCGTGGCGCTCCCAGGCAGGGAAAGTCCTCGACTTACAACCGGTTGGGTAGTCCTCGACTTAGGACCGGTTTAGTCCTCGACTTACGACCGGCTTAGTCCTCGACTTACGACCGGTTTAGTCTTCGACTTACGACTGGTTGGGGTCACGGCATTAAAAAGGTTGAGAACCACTGTTCTAGAGAGTCGTTGGGACATTTGGAAGTTTTCTGTGTCCTCAGTAATGCAAATGTGTTTGGAGCCTTCTGGTTGCAGGATGTTTTCTGCCCTGTTCCTGTAGTCTGCAATGTTTTCTGGAAATCTGTTCTCTAAAAGAATGCAAATGACCAGCTGTCTGCAAGAAATATAAATCCTTCCATTCCCCACCATCCGATGGTCAGAGATGAAGAAGCTTCTTGGATGAGAAGTGAAACATCTTCAAAGAAGAACAAGAAAGTCCAGTTGCCTCCTGAAAAAGCATGTTTGGGACAACCATGACATGGATGACTCCATAGACATTATTAAATTAATTTGCTGTCTGTTTTGCCATGGACTACCTGCTAGAAGATTTATATTCCATTTTAGCATTAAAGTTAAAAGAAAATATTTCATTGAGAATTGATGATTTGTCAGTAATTTTGGCAATGTGAGTTTGAAGGTGCTCCAGGAGAGGAAATAAAATAGGTCTCTGGTCTAGATAATACAATCAGGCATTATTGCTTAGAAATAAATTTGTTTCCTCACTTCATTTTGAAATCATTTTATATGTCTTGTAATGAATGGAACATTTTGTAATTTGTGATGGAACCTCACAATCTATTTACTACTCAAACTCTCTTTCCTGCAACCTTTAATCAGGCAAAAAGGTGTACCATAGGGCAAAAATTTATCAGCCAATACCTCAACTATTGTAACAGCAAGCTCTATGGTAGATCTTTTCCATTAGCTAGTTACTTTAATAACCTCAATCTTGCCTAAAAAAGCATTCTCATTGATCCCTACTGGTTTTTATCCATTGTTTTAGAATATACATGTCAAACTCGCGGTGTCACGTGACGTCGCACAACGTATCGGGACGGTTTTGCCATTGCCGGCAATGGGGTGGGCGTGACTTCCGGATGATGCGTCCGGCCCGTGGGCCAGCAGTTTGACACCCCTGTTTTAGAGGGAAGACTTAATAACATTCCCTCCCAAGATTGCCTGTGCCCTTGTTAGCTAGGGACAATTGAGATTGATAGGGAATCCTCATTTAATGACTAATTGCTTAATGACTGTTTGAAATTATGAAGGCATCAGAAAGGGTGCTTTATGCCTCTAAAGCACTTCCAGGTGTCAGAATGTTTCAAACACACATATATACCTGCAGTCATATATTCGCTATCTGGGTGTTTGACAATCTGTTTGCACTTATAACTGAATGCCAAGCCCCCCTCAATCATGCAATTGCCACTTGCAATCTTCCCTGCCAGGCTCCCCAGAAACTCAGTGGAGAAGCCGACAGGGAAGGTTGCAAACTGCTGCTGCCTGTTGAAAGAACTCCCTCTTGTTTTGGAGGCTGGATGAAAGAGGTCTCTGAAATCCAAACCTGCATGGAGTCCAAACTCCTTCTCTCAACATCTCTATGGAGGGCTCTGTAGAGGCAGGGAGAAAAGGACACCTAGTTCTGTGCCTGCTTTAACCTCAACAGCCGAAATTCAAGTACATATGGAGTCCTAAAAATCTCTCTCTCCCTGCCTCTGCAAAGGGATTCTGCTTAACGACCCAGCTAGACCCTTAAGGACCTACCTCAGCTAGGCCCCCAAGAAAGCAGAACTCTTGAAACAGACATCATCTCAAAAGGAACATTTATTAGGGGCTAGTGATAGCAGGGAAACAAAGCGGGATCTGACGGAAAGTCCCGCGCAAGCAATATAACAAAGGCAATATTTGTTACTCCTCCCCCCAAGGTCCCAGTGTCCGTTTGAATCTCAGCCAATCCACAGGTGGTATAATGTTTTGATAACTGGTTCCTTTGGCGGTGCTCTTCAAGGTCTTTCCCAGTTTCGTTTCCCTCTGGCTCCAAGCGCAAATCGTCTCCCAGATAAGGGTGATGTTATGTGGCTGCATTCCTTCTCCTGGGGGAAGGGCAAAGTGGCAAGACAAAACAAAGCATGCCCCCTCCCAACAGAATGACAGGTCCCCCAAAATGGTTACAAATGCTGGTGTACAATAATGGAAAAAGGAATACATTTGTATTCATTGTATCAATGGGGCTGGAAAGATTCCCCTTCTTGCAACTATGGTCCTAATATGCAAACTATTAAACATATTGTATAAGATTGCCCACGATGTGCGTTCTCTGGTTCCTTAGAAGATCTGCATAAAGCAAAGCCACAGGCAATTGCCTGGATAGCTAAATTGGATATCCAGTTATGAAGTCACTACTGTATCCCCATAGAAGTTTTGTATATAATTACTTGTGTATACATATACTTCTCTTTATCATGTTGTCATCATATGCTAAATAAACTTGGTTGCTTCACTCAATGACCAAGACTCTGATCATAATTGTGACCATTAACCATTAACATTATCACATTTTTTGCTGTGTTGCTCTTTGTAGCCAGACTGGGCAATTATTTTTAATTATGAATATTTTTGCTCACTAATTGCATAAGTAGGGCAGAGATAAACAGCTCTAAGAAAATTGTGTGACTAATTGCTGTAAGAGGGTTTTGGGTCTAGTACTAGAAATGTTTATTGGTCAGGTTATTCCTATTTGGACACCATTCATTCATTTTATTAATTGTTCAGATTTTATTAGATAACATTTTATTTTGGTTAGGGTTGCCAATGATTGCCAATGGAACTGCCTCTTTTGATAAATATTTTCTCCTTCCTTTTAGCAAACATATTTAAAAGTAGCTGAAGCTAAAGAATCTGACTTTTCCCTGGCAATATATCTGCAAAGCATGCATATTCAAATAACTGCTGTGAAGATTCCTTTATGGAAGACTTTCACAAGTTCTTATTTCTCTTCATCTTCCCAATGCAAGGGGGAAAATCAAAATGTTTCCACCTGATACTAAACAATCTCTCCATGAAGAAATGATTGAAAAATAGTATTTTTCAGTGTACACACAATATAGTGTCATTATTACAGCAATATCTCTCTTTTAAATAATTAAATATCAAGGATATAATCAATTTTGGAGTTTTTCCCCCAAGGAAAAAATGGGATCTCTTAGAGACACATGTTTACAACTGTATGATCAATATTTTTACTTTGATTGGGGATCTGATCTGCCTGCTCCTTTCTTTTCTTGCCCTTATATACGGTATCATGCAGGATAATAGAAAAAGACAAAGGAAGTAAAGGCACAACTTTGGAACAATACCTTATTTCTTGCTTTAATGAGTCTTCCCCCAATATAGGGCAGAAAACTTGTGGAATCTAAAAGAAGGGGTTTATAGAAAGGCCAGATCATATTTAGCTGAGCCTTTTTGACTAACAAGTAATAAGATTTGTTTATTTATTTATAAAACTGCCTGGTTTATACACAAGATTCTTAGGCGGCTCACAACAAAACCAATAAAAACAATAATAACAGCATAATTTCACCCATATATGAAGCAGTATAGTTTTTTGTAGGTAGAGCTTCTATTCTATGGTCATAGACCAGCAATAGACGTCACTTTTTACAATATATTAAAAAAATAGTACTGACATTAATAGTAAATAATAACATCCCTATTAAGAAAATACATATTCTCAAACTGTTAGGGTCACTCCCTAGTTTACGTGAGTGGAAAGCCGATAAGTGTGTGAGTAAATATAATGTTCCAAAAATTATTAGAGATATCTCCAGAAAATTGGGACAAGTTGACGGCTATAGATCTGTAACCAATTTTTTTCTTGTGGACTTTGCAACAACACAGTATTTGCCACTGCATGCGTGATAGAAGGGTTTGCGTCCTGGAGGAGAAAGCCTACATAAACATATTCTGCCCTCCCTGGCAATCTCTCTAATGAGGGGAGAATATATGCTGACCTATAAACTTGGTATAACTCACAGTACAATAAAACATGTGAGATATCTTCGACTTCTCCTTTACCACATATACATACCCGTTCTGCCATTGGTGTTCTCTTATACCTGCCCTGGAGGAGTGCTGAGGGAAGAATGTTAAATCTGGCTCTGAAGAAAGCTATTCTTCGTTTTGGGAAGGTCAGATCATTCAGATATCTTGCCGATTCCCACACATCCTGTTTGATTCTATCCCTACTGTGGCGAGGCAACCTATTTAGTTCTTCTTGGACTCTATGGCCTTCATTCTATTGAATACTACTTGCTTTGCTTGGTCAAAGCCTAGGGACATTAAGAATACCTATGAGAGCCCATAAGAGCCCAATTTATGATCTATTGCCCGCTTCCAGTGGGAGGGGAAGTTGTCAGTCAGCACTAACAGGAACAGTCCCTCTGGAAAGACATGCATTTTAAGCCAGTGAATGATCATCATCTTTCAGGCTCTTACCTGAATTTGGGACATGCCTGTCTCAATTCTTAATTGGGCATTTGGGGTTCCTTTGGGTGCAGCTAAGATGGCTCGCAGGAATTTGGTTTGTATGGTTTCTAGCAAGTTTTTCTTTGCAAGGATTCCTGTTTGTGCCCCATATAGAATTTGTGCCAATGTTTTGGCCTCGAAAAGTTTTAAGCCAGCAGGTACTAATTGGCCTCCGCCTGTGTAAAAGTAATGTTTAATTGCATTTAAGGACCTATTGGCTGCTTGCAATGTATGATCCAGGTGTGCCTTCCATGTCCCTTGCGAGTGGAAAACCACCTGAAGATATCTAAATGTTATAACCTGTTCCAAACTATGTCCTTCTATTTTCCAGGAATATTGGCTGGGTCTTTTAGCAAAAACTAAAATTTTTGATTTATCAAAGTTAAAGACCAACTTGTTCTGTCTAGAGTAGCCAAGTGTTGCCCTAATTGCTCTCTTCAGTCCTACAGGAGTTTGTGAAATAATGACCGCATCGTCGGCATATAGAAGAATCGGGATTTTGCGATGTGCTAGGTTGGGCGGATTCAGATCAGGGTTCTGTAAGAGATCGATCAGGGGGTTGATATAGAAGTTAAAAAGGGAGGGGGACAGGATGCCGTACCCCTTTTTGTACCCTTACTGAGCCAGTTAAAGTCCCTTGAGGATTACACCTCACTTTCAAGGTGGAATTGACGTACAATTTTTGTATGAGGAAAAGGAGACGTTTATCGACAGTAGTGCCTTTTAATTTCTCCCATAGGGTGTTCCTAGATATTGAGTCAAAGGCCTGCTTAAAATCAAGGAAGGCAACAAAAAGAGAGGATTTTTTTTTTATATGTGTATTTTTGTACTAGATGGTGAAGTACCAAGATATGATCCACCGTTGATCTTCCTTCTCTAAAACCGGCTTGTTCATCTTTAATTATCCCCCCCGAAATTAGCCAATCCTGAAGTTTATAGTTTAGGTCAGCGGTTCTCAACCTATGGGTCGCGACCCCATTTGGGGTCGATTGACCATTTCACAGGGGTCGCCAAGCAAGGCTGTCTGCCATTTTTTTCCCCTTTTCCAGCGGGTGCCTTACCTCCCTTGGGCTGGGCCAGCTGGTGGTCGGCCTGCTCCATCTCTGCCGCTTGCCAGCTACGCCTTGGCCGGCGCAGGGGGCAGAACCACGCATGCGCGGCGCTCCCAGGCAGGGAAAGTCCTCGACTTACGACCGGTTGGGTAGTCCTCGACTTACGACCGGTTTAGTCCTCGACTTACGACCGGTTGGGGGTCATGGCATTAAAAAGGTTGAGAACCACTGGTTTAGATGTTTGGCATACATTTTACTAATAACACTCAGAAGACTAATGGGTCTATAATTGCCTGGGTCATTTCTACTACCTTTTTTATAGATTGGTATGATAATTGCTAATCCCCAATCTCTTGGCATATGGCCCGTTCTATCTATAAATGTAAACAGAGATGCTAAAAGTGGAGCCCACCAACTGAGATTATTTTTTATTATTTCTGGCAGGACATTGTCAGCACCAGGTGCCTTATTAGCCTTGAGGGCTCCAATCAATCGGGATATCTCGCCTGGTGTAACAGGGGGCCAGTAAGGGGTTTGGTCCAAATTAATTTGGCTCTCATTAGTTACATAGTCGGGGTCTGCATATAGCTCTCTAAAATATTCTTCCCAGGCATGAATTGGTACCTGATTAGTTGGAGGTAGGGGGGATTTCCCCAATCCTCTGGTTATGTGCCAAAAAAGGGCTGTATTTTTTGTCCTGACTGATGCAATTAGTCTATGCCAAGACTCCTTCAGAGCTGCTTCTATTGTAAACAAAGATCAATGTTGATTGCTCTTAGTTGCAAATGTTGTTGTTGTTGTTAGTTGCAAAGTCGTGTCCGACCCATCGCGACACCATGCACAATGTTCCTCCAGGCCTTCCTGTCCTCTACTATCTTCTGGAGTCCATTTAAGCTCACGCCTACTGCTTCAGTGATTCCATCCAGCCATCTTATTCTCTGTCGTCCTCTTCTTCTATTGCCCTCAATCTTTCCCAGCATTAGGCTCTTCTCCAGTGAGTCCTTCCTTCTCATTAGGGGACTCGCAGGAGTCTTCTCCAGCACCATAGTTCAAAGGCCTCAATTATTTTGCACTCAGCCTTTCTTATGGTCCAACTTTCACAGTCATACATTGCAACTGGGAAAATCATGTTCTTGACTATACGCACTTTTGTTGGCAGGGTGATGTCTCTGCTTTTTAGTATGCTGTCTAGATTTGCCATAGCTTTCCTCCCCAGGAGCATGCGTCTTTTAATTTCTTGGCTGCAGTCCCCATCTGAGGTGATCTTGGAGCCTAGGAAGATAAAATCTGTTACTATCTCCATTTCTTCCCCATCTATTTGCCAGGAATTGAGAGGGCCGGATGCCATGATTTTGGTTTTCTTAATGTTGAGTTTCAAGCCCACTTTTGCACTCTCCTTCTTCACCCACATCAAGAGGCTCTTTAGTTCCTCTTCACTTTCTGCCATTAGAGTGGTATCATCTGCATATCATAGGTTGTTGATATTTCTCCCGGCAATCTTAATTCCATCTTTTGATTCATCTAGCCCTGCCTTTATCATGATGTGCTCTGCATATAAGTTAAATAGGCAGGGCGACAGAATACAGGCTTGCCGGACTCCTTTCCCAATTTTGAACCAATCAGTGGTTCCGTGTCCAGTTCTCACTGTTGCTTCTTGACCTGCATATAGGTTTCTCAAGAGACAAATAAGATGGTCTGGTACTCCCATTTCTTTAAGAACTTGCCACAATTTGTTGTGATCCACACAATCAAAGGCTTTAGCATAGTCAATGAAACAGAAGTAGATGTTTTTCTGGAACTCCCTAGCTTTCTCCATGATCCAGCGTATGTTGGCAATTTGATCTCTAGTTCCTCTGCCTCTTCGAAATCCTGCCTGTACTTCTGGAAGTTCCCGATCCATATACTGCTGGAGTCTAGCTTGTAGGATTTTAAGCATAACTTTACTTGCACGTGAAATGAGTGCAATGGTGCAAACATTCTTTGGCATTGCCTTTCTTTGGAATTGGAATGTAAACTGACCTTTTCCAATCCTGTGGCCACTGTTGAGTTTTCCAAATTTGCTGGCAAATTGAGTGTAGCACTTTTACTGCATCGTCTTTTAAGTTTTTGAATAGCTCAGCTGGAATACTGTCACCTCCACTAGCTTTGTTGTTGCTCAGCTTTCCTAAGGCCCATTTCACTTCACATTCTAGGATGTCTGGCTCGAGGTCAGTGACCACCCCATCGTGGTTATCAGGGACGTTAAGCTCGTTCTTGTATAGTTCTTCTGTGTAATTTTGCCATCTCTTCTTAATCTCTTCTGCCTCTGTTAGGTCCCTGCCATTTTGGTCCTTTATCATGCCCATCTTTGCATGAAACGTTCCCTTCATATCTCCAATTTTCTTGAAGGGATCTCTGGTTCTCCCTATTCTATTGTTTTCTTCTATTTCTTTGCCCTGTTCATTTAAGAGGGCATTCTTATCTCT